CGCCGCCGCGTCCACAGCCTCTATCGATCCCTGCTTCAAATTGCCCGACCGCCGGCGGCCCGGCCCAACCGAAGGCGCCGCCTGCGCCGGCTGGTACGACCACCTCGTGGCCAGCATGCTCGGCCAGGCATCGACCGGCTGGCCGCGAGGCAGCGCTGGCTGCGTCGCGGCTGACCCGATCGGCGCGCCACGCCCCCCCTTCCCCGCCGCCTACGGGCCGCTGCCGCTGCCGCCGCCGCCGCTGACCGCGGCACAGACGACCGCCAGCGCACACCATCCACCCCCCCTCTTTCTCGGCCCCGCCGCTGATGGCGGCCCGGCCCGCGACGGACCTGTCTGCCCACCTGACGCCGACCAGCCCGTCTGTCTCGGTTACTACCAGCAACTGGTGGCCGGCATGATGGCCGCCGCCAGTCTCATCAACTCGGCAAGCCTGCCGCCCGTCAGCCAGGCCCTGGGCCTGCCCGGCCATCAATCGCCTTCTTCGCCGGCTCCGTTCGCCCCGCCCCTCCGCCTCCCCTCCGCCACAACCAAATCCGACGCCCACGCATTCTCAACTCGCCTCGTCGTCACGACCGCGGGCCAATCGAGTCTGGCCGCCTGTCCGCTCGACGGCACGGCGTTGCGCAACGGCACAAACGTCTGCGCCTCGGCGACACGCGGCCACAGACAAAGCGGGCGCCTCGACGACGCGGAAGGCCGCCTCGTGTCGCCCAGCTACACGGCGCCCGAGACGCCGCCACCTCCACCCCCGCCCGCAGGGCCCCTCCTCGCCTCGGCCCTCCTGCCTCAGCCGGCCGCCGCCTCGCCGGGTGCCAGCCCCTTTGTCGGCTTCTCCCGACTCCTCCTCGGCCACTTCAGCCCCGCCTCGCCCGTCAAACCGGTCCGCCTTTCGCCCCCGCCTCTCCCTCCATCACTGCCTCTGCATCACCACGCCAGTCCACATACGCCCCCGCGACCGACGCACGCCTCGCACGTCGGCTTCTGGCGCCCCGTCAATGGACCAATCGGAGTGGCTGCCGCCGCTCAACCGTCAACACCGCCGCCGCTGCCGCCGCCCACTCAGACGCCCAGCGAAGCTTGCGCCAGCTGTCGCGATCAGACGCAGAGGCCGCCGGCCAAATGGTGCCTCTCCGGCCGCATCGGCCGCGACGACGACTGCGTGGCAGGCAAGCGGTTCAAACCGGCAGCCGAGCTGTCGGCTGGCCTGGCGATCGATATGCACGCCGGCCCAGGCGTGCACGCGTCAAGCGAGGCGGCCGACGATCGTGACGGGCCGAGCATTTCGGACCTGTTCGGCGGCAACCTTCTCTTCTCGGCCTCGGCCGCGATGGCCGCCGCCGCCGCCGCTGCCGCCGCCGCAGCCGCGGCCACTTCGACTGCTCCGGCCTCTGCAAACAGCCTGCACCTGCCGCGCCTCTTCACCGACGCGCGACAATGACGCGTCGGCCAGGCGAGGCTGCGGCACACCGACAAGCCCGACTCTGGCCGGCACCTCGCTGCACACACACACAGTACAGACGGGCTCTCCCTCACACCCTCCCGAGTCTGACGCCCCGGCGCCAGTTGTAAAGTGGCCCAGTGCAAACGATCAAACGCACACATACACACACACACACACACACACCGCCCTCGAAATGTACAATTGATCCTCTCGCCCAGCCTCCCACAACACCCCTGAACCGGCACAAAAGGCACACACAGTCTGCTGTAAATCAAAAGAATATATTATTGCCTTTTTCGATTTTCTATTGACTTTTCTTGTGTTCTTTTTTTCCCGGCCGGACTAGCGCGTCGGGGTGGGCGGGAGACGGGCGAGTGGGTGTCGCGAACGGCCGCCGATCCGAGGCGGCAGTCGGCCGGTTTCAAGGCGAAAACTGTGTTGCGAATAGATTCGGTTGCCAACTAACTGGCGCCCAATTCGAGCCTATGACCCCTCGCTCAGACCTCGAAGAATCCCAAAATAAATTTTGTTGTGATGATGATACCTCGTTCTGACGATGTGCGTCATATGACGGACGGAGATTGCCTCGGAAACAGCGTCAGCATGAATGTTCAAGTAGAGCCAACCGACAGCTGGTCAAGAGGAATCGGCCGTCGTCTTCTGGTGCAACCGACCTTCGAATTTATTCACCCAATACACTTCCACTCGAAATTGAAGTGAGCTCAACAATCATGAAACAAGAGATTCGTCGAAACCCAACTTTTCTTCGCATATGGATTCAGTGAAATGGTGTGAGTCGCCTGTTTCCTTCGAGGGCGAGGTTGGCTGGGGGGCAATTTGCGAATTCGTCATATTGAAAAGCAAAGAAGCTTGACAACCGTGAAGTCAAGACGCTTTGGTTGGGCCAAGAAAGCCTAGGATCAGTGTTTTCCCACTGCGCGCATTCAGAGCTGTACGCACGTCTGTCCCTTTGCGACGCGAAACTGCGGCACACGCGCAACACAACCTGCAAAGGTGTATAGGTCGAAAAATCGAAACTGGCCAATAGCCGACAAGCAATAAAATCCAATCCAAACTGTCTTTACACGACAGCGCTCAATGCTGCTGCAGACTAATTGGCGAATTGTTAATAAATGTAAAGACACTGACAGGTTTTCCCAAACCCAGCTCTTCTGTAAAGCATATGGTTTTTGTAAAAATTGTTTATTTAAATCCAGGTCAATATGCCGCTTATTTAGGAGGTATCATGTGTTACAATAAAAAAAACCACACTGTTATGTATGGGATTTTGGACGCAACACTATCATAAAAGATTGTATTTGTGCTAATTTGGTTTAGTCGGGGCACACATCGCCCGTCAGCTTTGCTGTTTGTCGAAGCAAGTCGTAACGTGGCAACCACAGGGAACGTCTCAAAGCACCACCAAGAACTGAGCTTAATTGATTATTTATAAAATAGGAATTTTTTTCAACTTGATTGATAATTTTCAAGCAAAACTACAGAATATGTGTTAGTCTTTAAAGCCGACTTGTAAAAGAAAGGTAAGATTACATATTTTTCGTTTATAAGTCGGCTTTTCGAGACGGACACTTTCATTTCGTATGGAGCATATGATGAAGAGATTGGTTGGTCAAGCTCACCTCCAGACGCAGGCTGCAGCCGTTTGGCGTAAATACGACGCTCAGGTTGAGGCAGTCCACGAGACATCGGCTGCACCGTTTCGGACGAAGACGAGCTGACCTTTCGTGCGTCTCGTCACGAGCATCGTCAGAGCTGGGACCCATTCTTGAAAAGTGCCTCAACTCAACACTAATGCAAAAAGGCTAACCGGCTCTTTTCTTCACGATGCACATACTCATTGAGAGCAAAATTCAAGATATAAATGGAC